ATATATTCCATTTGATTCATGACATCTGTTAGTTCTCTTATTTCTATGTTAAGTTTCTGTCTGGTTGACCTGTCCATTGTTGAGAGAGAAGTGTTGAAATCTCTTACTATTAGTGTGTGGGGTTTGATGTGCGATTTAAGTTTCAGTAATGTTTCTTTTACATATATGAGTGCTCTTGTATTAGGGGCATAGATGTTCAGGACTGAGACTTCCTCCTGATGAATTGTTCCTGTTATGAGTATAAAATGTCCTTCACCATCTCTTCTGATTGATTTTAGTTTGAAATCAGTTCTGTTAGATACCAGGATAGCCACACCTGCTTGTTTCTTAGGTCCGTTTGGTTAGAAAAACCTTTTCCCAACCCTTTATTCTGAGGTGGTGTCTGTCTTTGAGGTTGAAGTGTATTTCTTGTAAACAGCAGAATCCTGGATCCTGTTTTCATATTTCTCTTAACCTGTGCGTTTTTATAGGTGAATTGAGACCATTGATATTAAGTGATATTAATGACCAGTGTGTTCACTCTGGTTATCTTTCGGTAGTAGTGTTTGTGTGTTTCCTTTCTTTGGGTTATGTTGGTGGAGAGTTATCAGATGCCTGTGTTACTGTGGGTGTTGTTGGTTTCCTTGGGTTGAGGTTTTCCTTCTAGTACTTTCTGTAAGGCTGGGTTTGTGGATGCGTGTTGTTTAAATCTGTTTTTGTCATTGAATATCTTGTTTTCTCCTTCAATGGTGAAAGAAAGCTTTGCTGGGTATAGTAGTCTGGGCTTGCATCCATGGTCTCTTAGTGTCTGCAGCACATCTTTCCAGGACCTTCTGCTTTCATGGTTTCCATAGAAAAGTCAGGTGTAATTCTGATAGGTTTACCTTTATATGTTACTTGAACTTTTCCCTTTGCAGCTCTTAATATTCTTTCTTTATTCTGTATGTTTTGTGTTTTGATTATTATATGGCGAGAGGATTTTTTTTATCAACTCTATTTGGTGTTCTGTAAGCTTCTTGTATCTTTATAGGTATATCCTTCTTTAGTTTGGGAAAGTTTTCTTCTATAATTTTGTTGAATATATTTTTGTGCCTTTGAGCTGGAGTTCTTCTCCTTCTTCTACCCCATTAGTCTCAGGTTTGGTCTTTTCATGGTATCCCAGATTTCCTGAATGTTTCGTGTTAAGAATTTGTTGGATTTAGTGTTTTCTTTGACCAATGAGTCTATTTCCTCAATAGTATCTTCAGCACCTGAGATTCTTTCTTCTATCTCTTATATTCTGTTGGTTATACTTGTCTCTGTAATTAGTGTTTGTTTATCCAGATTTTCCATTTCTAGAGTTCCCTCAGTTTGTGTTTTATTACCTCTATTTTAATCTTCAAGTTTTGAACTGTTTCCTTTACCTGTTTGGTTGCTTTTTCTTGGTTTTCTTGGGTATCTTTGAAGGATTTGTTAATTTCTTTCAGCTTTCTGTTTGTCTTCTCCTCCATTTCTTTGAGGGAGATTTTCACTACATCTTCAAAGGTCTCCATCATTTTCATAAAATTATATTTAAAGTCATTTTCTTCTTTATCTTATAGGTTAGAATGATCAAGTCTTCCTTTTTTGTGTCCACTAGGTTCTGGTATTAGGATGTTGGAGGAATTCTTGCATTGACACCTTCCCATCTCTTCCTTCAAATGAGGCCAGTCGTGTCTTGGCGTCTTGGTCCAATCCTTGCTGTGGCTGAATCTCTTATGACCACCAAATATTGGTCTTACAGGGTTCCAGGAAGTTCACAGGGAACGGTGGGTTGGGGGCGGGTGGAATGAGGTCTAACAGGCCAGCTCCTAGCTGGTGGCTAGTAATGCCAAGGAGACCTGGGGAAGGGGGGCCCTGGATTTTCTCCTACGTGGAGGTTTTAGGGAGTGGGGGGTCCAGGGCCACAGCGCCACTATTGACTCACCTCTTATGTCCACCAAGTATTGGTCTCCATGGAGCTAGCAGGGAACCTAGTCTAGTATTTCTTAATGAAGTCATTTCCTATAAAGTATGTTCTGTGTAAGTTAAGTGTAGGTTTTAAAGATGCTTCTCTGGGTTGTTTGTCAGCAGCTCTGGTCTACATACCCTGAGCAATTGATTCTGTTTACAGTGAAAAGGACTGATCAGGACACATCTTAGTAATCTTGGAATAAATGAGTTCTCTTAAAGGTTAAAATTCAAGCTTTAAGATAAGAAGAGGGAGTCCATGAGCAGAAGCTTTAGTCAGGAAAACTGACAAGTTCAGAGGGCGATACAAAGGATGCAGAGTGTTGCACAAATAATAAAAACCCAGAAACAGATATTGGGGCTCAGGATGAAGATCAGAAAAGCAAAGCAGCCAGCCACTAGAGAGGTCTTACTACCAAGGTTCAGACAAACAAAGGGGAGATCCCGGCTCTGTGAATCCTCAGATAGAAACCAAGACCTCTCTACTCCAGTGTTATATTCCTCTCTAGTGCTGGGATTAAAGGCGTGCACCACCACTGCCTGGCCTCTATGGCAACTAGTGTGGCTGCTGGGGTTAAAATGTGTACCCTCACTGCCTGACCTGTATGGCTGGCTAGTGTGGCTGCTTTGCACTGATCTTCAGGCAAGCTTTATTTATTAAAACACAAATAATATACCACCATAACAGAGGATGATTTAGAACCTTCCCCGGGTCTCCCAATACCCCTCAACCTCATTTTCCATTGACTAAGAGATGCTGTTTTTAGCTAGCATTGCTAGAATGTGCCTTCCTGATAGTGCTATGTTCTCTGCCACCCCGTATGCCCTTCACATACAGTTGTGTTGATGATGAGCAGAGTGGGTTAGTGGTGAGCAGTGAGCTAGATTCCTGAAATTCATACGGGACAAACTAAAGGAGTTTCCTTTGTTTGTATAGATCAGGATGAGGGGTGATGTAATAAGTTTGATGTTTAGGAAGATACTAAAGGGAAAGGGATTCATTTCCTGATACGGCCTGGGCCACTTAAAAGATTCTACAATGACGTGGACCCAACAGAGCAGAAGTGTGATGGAGCTGGACGTCTCCAAGGTGACTTCTGTGCCCTGAAGTCACTAGTGGGACACCATGAAAGGGTTTTGGTGTGTGTGTGTGTGTGTGTGTGTGTGTGTGTGTGTGTTTGTTTTAGGGTTTTTGAGTGAACATGAAGAAAAAATGTATTTGAGTCATGAAAGCCTGAGGTCTGAGCTGTGCAAACAGAACCATAAAATTTTTCAAGACTGAAGATTCAACCTCATATGGGGACCAAATGCAGGGAAACAGGTGCAACTTCTGAAGTCTTAGTCAAGCTTCTTTTTGCATTCTCCATTAGAAAGGAAGTAACAGTTTCACTTTTATCAAAAAGGTTTTTGTTTCTTACTTGGAGAGTATGAAAGGTGTTTTACTGCAGTGGGTCTGATTTCTGTAATGAGAAGAAAGCTTGGGTTGGGAGGAAGAAAGTTGAATATTAATTTCAGTCTTTCTATCATTGATCCTTTTTTATTTTATTGTGTCATTTTTTTCCATTTCAGATACCGTGGAGGTTTCCCAGTATAGCCTTCTTTTTAATAAACTCCTAGATGCCTGTATAGAAAGTAACAGTCTTGGCATATCATCTTGTGTAGCAGAGTTCATGGTTTCCAAAAGCATCCCTATTGACTTTTCCTTTCTCAGGAGACTAATCACTTCCTTGGGAAGGAGTTGTTTGTGGCTCAAAGCCAGAGCCCACTACAAAAGTAAGTTCCATTGAAATGTTTGAATTAATATGTTGATTTTAACTATTTTCTAATCCAGAACTCATTTATAATATTTTCAATATGCAGAAATAATAGTTAGTACATATTCACAGGTAGAGGTCTGATAGATCTGTGCTGAGTTTTGAAAACTTTTTTTGTCCTTTGTTTACAAGTGCCATGCTTTTCTCCTAGCTTGTCATCCATTCCAGTAGAGGGCAAACAAAGAAAATTTGACCCAGTTTGACAGATCTTACAACACAAGAGTAAAAATGTTAGGTGAATTGAAATGGAAATGTTTGGGTGTCAGAAATCCCAGCCACCCAACCTGAGCTAGAAGTGTTTTAAACTCCCAGCTATAATCACCTTAACAAGTGGTAACTTTTCTTCCCAAAAAATGGGAAAATAATTAGGTTGAATTATAAGTATTAAGTTTAAGTGTTTAATGCACGTTTTGTTTTGGGAATTAGTTTTTGAATTTTAACGGGGTCTCATGGTTTATGCATATGTTCATGCACACATAAACATAACAGTAATTAAATAAAATTTAAATATTTAAATGTTACTGGAACATCTTTAGATTGTGTTCTCAGAGATTAGCATCAACATGAATGATACAGCTTAGATATGTGTTTAGATATGGTTCTCAGAGATTAGCATTATCTTGAATGAAAAAAACATTTTAAGCAAAATCAACATGCAGTTTTAATTTGATTTTGATAAACTGTATACGATGTTATCTGTGTCCAATTGAGTGTCCTCAGAGTATTAATTATCATTTCAAATAAGCAGCCAAACAGTGTAAAGTTAAGTCAAGTCTGTTCTGACCTGTGGAGTTGGTGACTGCGATGGCCATATATAGGGTGGAGCTGCACTTGGTGTCCTGTGCTCAGCACTTGCCAGGCAGAGTAGGAACAGTAACAGCCTCAGCATCCGAAGTGCTGAGATTAGAGGCATGTACCACCACACCCGACTACTTATTGACTATTCTGCAGTTATGTCATATACATTATTATGACTTGAAAAAATGGGCATTTGCCACAGTAAAATGCAAAGGTCATGTTTCAGAGTTCTCATAAAGAGTAGAATCTAGGGGCTGAAGAGATGGCTCAGTGGTTAAGAGCATTGCCTGCTCTTCCAAAGGCTCTGAGTTCAATTCCCAGCAACCACATGGTGGCTCACAACCATCTGTAATGAGGTCTGGTGCCCTCTTCTGGCCTGCAGACATACATACAGATAGACTATTGTATACATAATAAATAAATATTTTTTTAAAAAAAGAGTAGTATCTAATGCACCAATATGCTCATTATCATAAAAGGTGTAATAAATATGCAAATGCAAAAGTTACCCCTGCCCTATAAGTAGCTCCCAGCTGAACGCTTAAACAGTTTTAAGTCTTACCCATTGAGGTTTGGTGATGTGTGACCTGTTGTTTAATTTTTAGGTGCTCTTTTACTGGGCTGCTACCCACCATTAGAAGGGAACTTAAACCGGAAAATTCTACTGATTCCTTCTTATTTATCTGAGATTGAAATGCTTTTAGCTATTGAAATATTTCTGGTGTCTAATGCTAGCAGTATTCAGAGCCCAGGAACTTCTATACAGGTGCTGCAGATCGTTTTGAAAAGGTGGGTTAATAGAACTCCAGCCGCTGCATTCTGAACATAGATGTGGCTCCACACTGCTCTAGAATGTGGTGTCTGTGCCTTGTGTTTGTTTATACTCTATGTGTGTTTACATGTATAAACACATATATTATGAACCTGGATAACATTTAAACTGAGAAAGAACAAGAACTACTTGAAACTAAAAACCACACAAGTTAAAGGGTTGTTGATGAACTTCAGTAGTAGAGTATAGATGCATGAGAACCAAAATAAAGGCCAAACAAGTTAACCCCAGTAAACAGACATAAGATAGGGATCTTCTTTAAATACCAACCTTCCTGTGTTAAAAAGGGTCTTTATCTAAAAACTTTAGCTATGAATCTCTTCTTTATTCAAGAAAGAGAAACTGCAGTTAGCATCTCTAAAAAAAACCCCTCAGATCCAGTTGGCTCATGGCAGATGCTCCCTGACATCTCATACTTGTTGAATGGAGCTGCGGGCTGTGTTCCTGCCGCCCCAGCTCCTGGTCACCTGGCTAGCTTATGCCCCGAAATAACAACACACAAACTGTATTCTTTTAAACACTGCTTGGCCCATTATATCTAGCCTCTTCTCAGCTGACTCTCGCACCTGGACTAGCCCATTTCTAATAATGTGTGTAGCACCCCAAGGTGTGCTTACCGGGAAGATTCTAGCCTACGTCCATCCTGGGTCGGAGCTTCATCACGTCTGCTCCAGAGAGCAGCAGCCTCGCATCTGAGCTCATTTCCTCTTCTTCCCAGCATTCTGTTCTGTTTACTCCACCCACCTATGTTCTAACCCATCAGGGCCAAGCAGTTTCTTTATTAATAAACCAGTAACCTTCCTCCATCACATACTCAACCGATGAATGTGCTTTCTCCATTTGTTGTAGGAGTCATTTGGCCCTGTTTGTTTGTTTGTTTGTTTGTTTATAGACAGGATTTCTCTATATAACAGCCCTGGATGTTCTGGACCTCACTCTATAGACCAGGCTTCTCAGAGATCCGCCTGCCTCTGCCTCCCAAGTATTGGATTGAAGGTGTGAGCCACCACAACCAGCTGTATAGCCCCTGTTTAACAAGAGGAAATCATTTTACTTGCACTTTTTTGTAAAAAAAAAAAAAACCTTTGTTCTTATTGCTCTGTTTTTAGCAGGGGGTGGGCTTCCTTTCTTTGACACTGCACAGTATGTGGCATGAGGTGTCTGAGTTTTATTCTTAAAAGAATTTGATTTTTTTCTTGCATCCATTTCCCACACATGCAGCCCCTGTATCCATTGTTGAATGTGAGGGTAGTTATAGTCCTAGTTCGCGACCAATGACATCCCTAGAGCTTTGATTTTTATGAAGGTCGATATACTTTGTCTTGCTTGTGTGCTGATCCCTGCCTTGGGGTGCTACCCTCTACTGAGTCTTTTTTCATTTTTAAACATTGAGAATATGGCACCTATTCAGTTTTCCAATCTTTCAAACTCTAGAGTGCCTCATTTAGTTTAGGAGTCCCCGGAAAGCACTTTTGAAGGGTGAGCCAGTGTTAATTTAGGTAGAACCATTCTTAGAACGCAATGCTCACTGACTCCCAAGGTACCAAGAGCAAAAAGCAAGAGGCCCCCCCAAAAAAAATGGCTGGGTGGTGGTGGTCCATACCTTTATTTAATCCCAGCACTCGGGAGGCAGAGGCAGGCAGATCTTTGTAAGTTCGAGGCCAACCTGGTCGACAAGAGCTAGTTTCAAGACAGGCTCCAAACCTACAGAGAAACCCTGTCTCGAAAAAAAAAAAGCAAGAAAACCATAATATCACATATTTTAAATACTTTTAACTATTTCCTTTATCCAGAAGAAAAGATACCATAAATTAAGAATTTCATGCCTCTAAACATAATCATAATTGATGGCAGATGGAATTTGAAAAAAATTTTAATACCTAATGAAGTACCCAAGTCAGGGCCAAAGAAAACCGCACAGTGCTACAGTTGTTACTGAATGTTAGCTGCATGCTAAGTACTTTGAAACTAGAAATAACTAATGCCAGGAGAAAACTAATGTGATTATTAATAATTTAAGATGTATTGCACTTAATACTAACTTATTCAGCTTAATATTTACAGTTCTTAACTTTGTAAATACAAATAGACAGGTAGCCAGCTGTGTTCTAGAGCAGTGTTTCTCAAACTACCCATGGCCACTGGGTCCTGATATAAAATGCCTCTCAACTGCAAACCATGGTCCGAAAAGTTTAACATCACTGCTAAAAGAAAGGGGTGTTGCGGGAGGTCCTTCTGCCCCTCCAACCAATAGCTGCTGAGATACCAGCCCATTGGGGCGTGGTCTCTCTCCCTTTAAAAAAGCGGCTACTTCCTCCGCTCTCTCTCTTCACTTCCTGCTCCGCCAGCAACTAGACTCCCTTCCTGGTTGCGCAGAGGGCTGTTGTCTGGGATGGTGATCTGTAAGTTTTTTCCTCTTCAAATAAATACCACCCTATTAATCATAATTCCAAACTGGTGTGGCATTGTTCGTGACTTACGCCTTCACTGGTATCTCAGCAGCTATTGGTTGGAGGGGCAGAAGGACCTCCCGCAACACAGGATGATAGTTTGGAACCAATAAATACAAGTGACTCTCCCACAGAAACCACACTGCTTCTGCTGAGAGTCTCTGCTTTTGTGTTCACTTTACAGAACTGAAGAAAGCAAACCTCAAAACAAGGATGACTACCAAGCTGCAGTAGAGAGACTGATCATGGCTGCTCGCATATCGGACCCCAAGCTTTTCATCAAGCACATGACGGTCAACATTTACAAGGAGCAGGTGTACAGTCTGGAGCAGCGCTCTGCCCTCAAGTGGTTGAAAGAGAATTTGAAGTGGGCTGGAAACATTTGGCTTTTCACTAACCATTAGTTAATAAACGTGTTGTTGTTGGGGTTTTTTTTTTTAAGTTCAAGTAATCATTGTTGAAAATAAAAGACAATAAAAATAGCTCTCATTGTAGTCAGCATTTGTATCTTAACGACACTAGAAATTATCAAATCGTTTTCAAGTAATAAGTTTCATTTGCTTGCAATAGTTTTATTAACAATAAAAAGTGATTTTTAAAATTGCTTTTTTACTTAAATTTAGAAGAACCTAAGTATTAAATTCCTTTTTATTAATGTAGTTCAAAGAGTTGAGAAGCCTTCACTGAATGTAAGACCTCCCGCAGGGTACCCAGTGCGGGGGAGGGGGGCGACACGGAACTGGACACAACATGATGACACTAAGAGCCACCAGATACTACAAATGACTTTGCCATAGTCTGTTGAAATATGAGCGGCGGGCTGTGCCCCCGGCACCCGGCCGCCTGCACAGCTAGCTTTATACCCTAAATAATTACACGGAAACTGTATTATTTTAAACACTGCTTGGCCCATTAGTTCCAGCCTCTTATTGGCTAGCTCTTACATATTGATCTAACCCATTTCTAATAATCTGTGTAGCCCACGAGGTGGCTTACCAGGGAAGATCTTAACCTGTGTCTGTCTGGAGTGGAAGAATCATGGCAGCTGCCTGACTCGGCTTCTTTTTCCCAGCATTCTGTTCTGTCTACTCCGCCTACCTAATTTTCTGTCCTATTAGGGCCAAGCAGTTTTCTTTATTAGTTAACCATTGAAAGCAACAGATGAGATACAAGACCCACCTCCATCAATACTCAGGGTTACCACTGCCGCAATAGAGCACCCATTGCTGTCTGAGGTTTCTGTCCTGCGTTGTCCTGCAGTCATTCAGTCCCAAAGAATCACACAGAGGTCTACATCTCTTATAAACTGATTGGCCCAGCATCTCAGGCTCTTCTTATTAACTAATTCTTATAACTATTAGCCCATAATTCTTGTCTGAGCTAGCCATGTGGCTCAGTACCTTTTTCTGTGAGGCAGTCACATCTTGCTTCCTCTGAGGCTGGGTCAGCGTTTATTTAAAATACAAGTGATAGGGTACAGACCATTGTCCCATAGCAACCCATGACCAAAAGCAACTTGGAGATAAAAGGTTTATTTGACTTATACTTCCACATCATAGTTCATACCTGATGGGAGTCAGGGCCAGAACCCAAACATGGCAGGAACCTGAAGGCAGGGGCTGATGCTACTGGCTTGTTCCCCAAGGCTTGCTAAGCCTGCTTTCTTAGAGGACCGAGGACCAGCACCCACAATGGGCTGGGCCCTCCCCTACTGGTCACTAATTGAGAAAATGCCTTACAGCTGGATATCAGAGGTATTTCCTCAGCTGAGGCTCCTTCCTCTCATGATTCTAGTATGTGTCAAGTTGACATAAAATTAGCCAGCATAGACTTAAAACACTAAAATTCAGAGCATTATACCAAACGTTTAAATTACCCTCAACAATTTTCTCTTAAGTGTCCATGATTCTTTATTAATACATATATAAAATGGGAGGCACACACCTGCCACATTCATGTGGAAGTTGCAAGACAGCTTTTGGGAATTTGTTCTTTCCTTCCTTCCACCTTTATCTGGTGATCAAACCGAGGTGGTCCGGCTTGTGGGTCTGACAACAAATACCTTTATCTGCTGAGCAACCTGACCAGCACACAACTGTAGGATTTTTGACAATGTGTGACTCGTGCGTTGTTAGATACTGCTAAAGAAAATATTAAACAAATATGCCAAAAGTTAACAAGGATTGTTCCAAAGCACTAGGAAGTCATCTTCAGTATCTGTAGCCTGTTCTCTTTAATGGAGTCCTCATTCTTAACACTGTAAACTACAAATTCAAATCTTTAAGGGTAAAAAAAAAAAGCTCTAACTAGGGTAATAAATGGACAAGTGGTGAGCAGGGGGCACAAGGTATTTAAAGGAGTTCTCAAAAGTCAGTATCCTTAAGTCTATGGTCCCAGCACTTTTAAGCCAGAGTCACGAGATGAATGCAGCGAGGGAATTCTCACGGGCAATTACAAACCACGCTCAAACAACCTAGAGACTGGGGCTGCAGCAATGATGGTCGCAAGGTTGCTGCCGGGAGAGTGAAGATTCATCCAAGAGACGGGACAGGACTGGGCTTGGCACTGGGAAAACGCAGGCTTCTTGCCTGTCGACCAAGCCAAGAGGTAGCATTAGTGAAAGGAGCCGTTACTGTTCCATCTTTTGTAGTTCTGGATATCAAAGTTAGGGCGTGACATAAAGTAGAAAGCCCATGCTAACACTACATTTAAAAATAGCCTAGTAGCACGGAGTGGTAGCTGCAAGTTCAAGGCCAGCATGGGATACAGTGGGAGACCCGTCTCAAACGGTACCGAGTAAATCCAGATAATGTTAGAGGCAAAGCCAAGTAGGAAATGTAGGCCAGAGAGGAACAGGAGACTTCAAACTCAGCTGTATCTGGGAAGCAGTTCCAACCGCTGCTCTGGGAGGATTAGCGTCCGTAGAGCGCCCTGCGCCCGCCCCCACATACCCCTCAGGCAAGGGCGCTGCGCTTGCGCGCGTTCGCCCCGCCCCCGGGCTCCGGCTCCTCCTTCACCTTTGCTCGTCCCCGTCCCACCCCCCACCTCCCCGCCAATCATCTTTCTCCCTCAGACCCAGTCGGCGTCAGAGCCCAGGCTGTGTCTCCCGAAGCCCGCGGGTAGCGGGGTAAGGACACAAACTCCTGCGGCTTTGCAGCGGGGAGGGAGGAAGGCCACCGACAGATGGCCGCAGCCCCGGCCGGAAAGCGGCTCGCCGGCAGGCCGGCCGGCCATGCGCAGGCGTTCTGGGAGGAAGGCCGCTCCGCCGTAGCCAATGAGCACCGGTCCTTCGGCCTGCTCGCGGGTCACGGTGACCCGGGCCTGTGCGGGCCTGAGGCCGTGGGCGAGGCGAGGCCTGTCAGGACCTCCCTGCTTAGCACGAGTTGACCAGGGACTCCACCCTTGCCCAGAGCACGACCTGTGAGTGCCTGAGGCTCGGGCGAGGCCTCCAGGTGGGGTCTGGGTTTCTGCTGCTGGGAGAGCCTGGCGGCTGGTGGGGCAGTGGGAGGCCAAGTTGCGGGCCCTCCAGTTCACCTCTAGACCTGCAGTCAAACGGAGTAGTCTCCTAGAGGGGAGGTGGGAAGTTGTAGTCCTTGAGAGGGTGCACTACACCGCTAAAGAACTTAGTGACTTTGCTAATTAATAGAATTAAAATACAAATTGTGAAGATTCACAGTTATTGCTGTGAATATGTGTGGGAGTGGACTTTAAGGGTGTAGGGAAATGGCCGAAGGAAACGCAATCAGGTGGAATTGATCAGTGTGGGACCACTGGAGGCTTAATATAGAGGTCATATAGTTGTCGTCTTTTAAGGTATCAAAAGCTTGGTTGCTTGGTGGACTGAAGCATTTATCCCCAGATGGCCTTCCGAAAAGGAACTGGAGATGCCGGATACCCCTTTGCTTAGTGTTGATGAAGGGATTTTAAGCTCAGGGAAATTGGAACGCTAGCGCGGGTACGCTGTGAAAAATCTAGTCCTCCATCATGGGAAGGACCAAAAGACTTGCCCTACACTAATCCTATAGGATGCAGATGGGTTGAGGGCCATAAGCAGGTCGGAAGAGCCTTGGGTAACTCCTTTTCTCCTGCCGCTCAGCTGGATGACTTACATTCAGTGGGTTTGATTGGACCCTGGATACACAGCACCAAGGCCTGTATATAGGTGAGGCTGGGCCAGCAGTACCAGTATCCTTGAAATGAAGTGTTTGCAACCATCCTGTTTTCTCCTGTGCCTTTGACCTTCAAGATGCAATTGTGAGGCTCTCCAGCAAGAGATATAAAAAGGAAGCTAACAAACTTGTTATCCATTGATTTATCTAATACTGTTCCCCGATTTTGCTGTTCTTGTTTACTTTTTACCCTACTCTAAGTAGGGAGCCTAAAAGCAACGGAAAAAATAATGTCAGGTCTCTGGGTGAGAGGGTGCAAGCTTTTAATCCCAGCGCTCCAGAGGCAGAGAGGCAAATGGATCTCTATGAGCTGGATGGTAGCCTGGTCTACATAGTGAGCTCCAGGCCAGCCAAGCCTACATAGTGAGATCTTGTCTACAAAAAAAAAAAAAAAAAAAAGATAAGAAAGGAATGCATGGTTTTACCATTACTTGAGAGAACAAATTTCTTCTAAAACCTCACTATAGTTACAAGGAATAGTTACAAAGGGAGAGTAGTTTGAGACTTAGTTAAATTACTTTCAAATACAAATAGTGCCAAGAGGCTGAAGCTCAATCTTGAAGATCTCTTATTTGACAACTTCAGTACTTGTCAAACATACTGGCCAGAGGCAGTTGGGTCTGCACAGCAGTTCCAGGCCAGCCTGAGCGACAGAGAGTTTTGCAGACCTCGGGGAAGAAGGGGAAGGAACAGAACAGAAGGCATTATCACTATCAAGCAGGCCCAAGAACTCATTTATACCGGTGTGTAATTGGCTGCCTTCTGTCCACATAGCAGACCATTTCCTTGGCACAAGGCATTCTGGGGTGTCCTCTCCCATTACTCTGTGCGAGTCTAAATCATTGCATTTGCTGCTTTGTTCTTTGGTTGTCTGCTTGTGTCTGTGTCCCTCTTCTCCACCCCCTCTTCCTGCTCCGTAAGTTTAGTGCAGACAGCAATTGTCTCAGTGCTTGTTTACTGTTTGACCTTGGACCTCACACAGCAGTGAATGCTCACTGGTACAGTGGTGAGGTAGGAATCGGAATGTTGGTAGACAGAGTCTGGAGTCGCCGGGTCCTGTGGCTGCCGTAGGTGGGCTAGGCTTTTGAAGCTAGTGTCACCAGCATCGCACAGCCCACAGTCCTCTGTGCCGCCGTGACAGTCCCTTGCTGCTGGCTGTGCAGACCGAGTTCATCCAGAGATTTTACTTGGCTGAAGCTGAGATCTTGATTTACACTGCAGAAAAAGAATTTCAGGGTAAGACAATATGAAGA